CATCTGGTGAAGCAGCCTCAACACTTTTCGTGGCCCATGATGATGAAGATGATGATGATGATGATGATGATGAACTCTGTGACCGTGTGAACCGAAGCTCATCGTCACATGCAGCACATCCCTCACTTCAGTAAATGACACGTTCCCTTTCAGTCAGTTACGTTCTACGTTACGTCAGAATGACTGACGAATGTGGTCTCGCCTGAGAGCACAATCACCTTCGAGTGGTACAAAACGAGCCAATGGTACGCAGAGTAGCTTGGTCTGCGGAGTGTGTGTCGCGAGCCGGGACGGGGAAGGTATAAGTACTTTTTAGGTTCAAGTACCTCAGGTGGTAACAGCTATCACTTCAGCTAGGCCCCTGTCCACCAGACACGCCTATATTTGAAGTGGAACCTCTTCGCCGCTGGGTGTTCTTCTCATCAAGAAGACCCCTGGAAATGTCCGATCGGGTTGGTGTTCTCCTTCCCTCAGCAAGAGTTGGAACGAAGGCTGTCTCCTTCCACCCTCAAGGTCTATGTGGCTGCCGTTTCAGCTCACCATGATATGGTTGACTCTAAGCCAGTAAGGAAGCACGAGCTGGTCATCAGGTTCCTTCGAGGAGCTAGGACCCTTCTGGGATCTCTCAGTGGTTCTATCTGCGCTGCAGAGAACACCCTTTGAACCATTGCACTCAGTGGTGCTTAAGTTCTTCTCATTGAAGACAACGCTCCTGACGGCTTCGACCTCAGTTAAGAGGTAAGGGGACCGGCAGGCATTTTCAGTTGAAGCGTGCCTGGAATTCGGGCCGGCTAACTCTCACGTGATCCTGAGACCTCGGTCCAGGACATGTGCCCAAAGTTCCCACCACTCCCTTCAGGGATCAGGTGGTGAACTTGTAAGCGCTGGCCCTGGAGGAGGCAGACCCAGCCCTAGCACTGCTCTGTCCAGTACGCGCCCTTCGCGCTTACGTAGATTGAACTCAGTGCTTTAGGACCTCAGACCAGCTCTTTGTCTGTTATGGAGGCCAGCAGAAGAGAAAGGTTGTCTCCAAGCAGAGGTTATCCCACTGGATAGTGGATGCTATAGCCTTGGCTTACCAAGCCCAAGGACTGCCATGCCCCCTAGGGGTGTTTGGCGCATCCACTCCACGGACTGGATATGTGCGCTAATTTTCTCAGGTGAGTTCTGAACCCTGGGTTCCTCCAGTACTGTGGATGTCTAACACCTGTGTGCTGCCCAGTTGGTCAGCCCTGGTGTCGGACTATAGGTGCCTGCATGTGTTGCGATTCCCCTGCTTGGGCAATCCCACACGTGTATTTCCACGGTATGGTAAGTCTTCTCTGGTAGCACGTGACTTTCCCTTGGCAAGACCATCCTTGCCGTCTCCGACGTTGAAATATATTCCACCCTCTGGCTGGGTTACCTCAGAGATCTTCCATATGTTCCATAGGTTCATGTGTGATAATTGTTTAAGTCCTCCCTACAGGTAGGCATCATCCTTGCATTTTCCCGATGGGAATTTGCTAGCCAGTGTACCTTGGTAACTCTTGTGTTAAGCCTAGCCCTTCGCTCGTGCTGGCCTCACGACAGGGCACTGGAAGACAGCCATTGTGGCGTTTTACATAGGACCCCATTCGTCAGTCGTTCTGACGTAACGTAGAATGTGACGACCGAAAGGGAACGTCACCAAGACGTTACATCCCCTTACACAACCGCTGTACCGCTGAACGGCCGGAATACACCGCTCCTCAGCGAAGAACTTGAATGCGAGAATGCACGCGCTGCTCCTTCTATACACACACAGCGGGCGGAGCTCGCGACACACACTCCGCAGACCAAGCTACTCTGCGTACCATTGGCTGGTTTTGTACCTCTCGAGCGAGACCTCATTCGTCAGTCGTTCTGACGTAACGTCTCCGTTCACTGTTACATACATAACCGAGACGTTCTGCTTCTCTGCAGCTGTGGATGAGTGATAGAGCAATGCATCTGACAACATTTTTGAGCAAATATAGTGTAAATGAGTTTTAAATAACAATAAGCATTTTTACATTTTCATTAACTTAAATGATAAATATTGGTCGACCACTAAAGTTGATTGTACTTGCATTGTTGGTTGCTGATGCTTCTTATGTCATTTGCTTTATGTTCATTACATGGCCAAATGCATGCGGACCGTGATGAACACACACACACACACACACACACATTACTAACAGCTGCATGAACTCAAACATGCTTCTGTATTTCAGCATGACCTGAACTCGACTAAAGAGAGCAGAAGTGCTCATAGCTGCAATGAGGATCTGCTCGCTATTTCATGTTGTAATTAAATACTGCATATGAATCAAGCACATATCGGAGGTCTGCATACTCTCGGCCATGTAGTGTGTGTTGCTTATTAATGTGCTTCCCTTTTTTTGCTAAAGGCCATTTTCCCCACACGCTCTGGATTATAGTCGTTCATGCTTACCTTTATTTTGCAACCAAATCAGGCTTATCATTGCTTTTTCTGCAGGAGTCCATCAACATAATTACAATCATCTCGGTCTCAGTAGCCCAACGCGAACACCGAAAAATGGTAAGGAACCTTCTCAACGTATAATCTAGTTGTCGAGTGCTTGTGTTTGCATGCCTACAAGATTCTATGAACAGCTCAATGGCATTGGCCATCTTCATCTTCATCATCATCATCACCACCTTTAGGAAAAACCCTCAGAGAACCTTGAGTTCATGTTGTCAAGGAGGGCGGCGCTCGGGCTGCTGGTTAACTCTCCCAGCTGTAGCGAAAGCTTCTGACGGGCGAGCAGAAACGGCTCGTTAGCACTGATTAAAGACTGAAGCGCTCGAGTCGGACTTGGGTTGGTGGAGGATGGGATTCGCTTTCCCACCCAACAAGCTTCAAAGGCTCCCAGTGGATCCGTGCTTATATGACAAAGCCTGTTATTGCCCCACACAGAGCAGCCGATTCACTGCATGAAGAGCCGGCACTGCTGGGGTTATTATGACTCGTGTTGTATGGCGGGTCGGCTCGGCCTGCAGTCCAAATCTTTAACAGCTTATATACTATTTGCATTTTGTCTTGTTACATATGCTAAAATAGTATTTTAATAAAATTACACACACACATTATATAGTATCACTACATTTAGTTTACACACTGCCAGTCAAAAATCTTCTTTTTTAAAAAAAATAAATCAATACTTTTATTCATCCAGGATGCATTAAATTGACAGTAAAGACACTGTGTTACAAATGATTATATTTAAAATAAATCTTTTCTTCTTCATCAAAGAATCTTGAAAAATAAAAAGTATGACAGTTTCCACAAAAATATGAAGCAGCAACATTACTAATAATGAGAAATGTTTCTTGATCAGTAAATCATCATATTAGAGTGATTTCTGAAGGATCATGTGACACTGAAGACTGGAGTAATGATGCTGAACATACAGATTTGATCACAGGAATAAATTACACTTTACTGTATATATTATTCACAGAGAAAACAGCTGATTTACACTGGAATAATATTTCACTGTTTTTACAGTACAGTTTTTATCAAATAAATGCAGCTTTGGTGAGCAGAATACTTTAACATTAAACAATCATTACACATTAAAGAATCTCTTGAACGGTAGTGTATATGGTATAATATACAGTCCTCCTGAATATACAGTGGCGCGCCCTAATTTTACAGAGTTAGACGCGTTTCTGGGTTACACATATTTTGTTAATCCTGGAACAACATTCCTGTCCTAACCCTATCCATAACTTATCCATCAAATAGAGGGAAATGATGTGTGAATAACACGGATTGTGAGACTAAACTTACATAAACTGTAAAGTTGTCCCTCAAATCTGATTGGTTGATTGGAATGTTGATCCAGGAACACGTTTCACTCGTGAATCAGGATCTGCTATACGGGGTCCTCAAAGATGGGACGTGCTGTAACGGGGGCATTTTGGACAATATATGAATCCTTATCATTTTGTGATAACTTTGCATTGCTAAAGGGCAACCTGAATTATACAAATATATTTTGTAAAACAAGAAATTCATAACAGACAATCCTGCCGACAACCAATCAGCCAATCAGCCAATCAATCAACCAATCAATCAATCAATCAATCAATCAAGCAATCAATCAATCAATCAACCAATCAACCAATCAACCAATCAACCAATCAATCAATCAACCAATCAATCAATCAATCAGCCAATCAGCCAATCAATCAATCAATCAACCAATCAACCAATCAACCAATCAGCCAATCAATCAATCAATCAATCAATCAATCAATCAATCAATCAATCAACCACCCAATCAACCAATCAATCAATCAGCCAATCAATCAATCAATCAACCAATCAACCAATCAGCCAATCAGCCAATCAATCAATCAATCAATCAATCAACCACCCAATCAACCAATCAATCAATCAGCCAATCAATCAATCAATCAATCAACCAATCAGCCAATCAGCCAATCAATCAATCAATCAATCAACCACCCAATCAACCAATCAATCAATCAGCCAATCAATCAATCAATCAACCAATCAGCCAATCAGCCAATCAATCAATCAATCAATCAATCAACCACCCAATCAACCAATCAATCAATCAGCCAATCAATCAATCAATCAACCAATCAGCCAATCAGCCAATCAATCAATCAATCAATCAATCAATCAACCACCCAATCAATCAATCAGCCAATCAATCAATCAATCAACCAATCAGCCAATCAGCCAATCAATCAATCAATCAATCAACCACCCAATCAACCAATCAATCAATCAGCCAATCAATCAATCAATCAACCAATCAGCCAATCAGCCAATCAATCAATCAATCAATCAATCAACCACCCAATCAATCAATCAGCCAATCAATCAATCAACCAATCAAATGGAACATTAAATGAGCCTAAGATGGTTTCCTGGTCTAAACCAGCTGAACATCACGGCCACTGTTACTTCCATTACTATATAATCGAAAAGAAAATCATTATTGTTGGCCTTCATTGATAGTTTCCACTATAAGCATTTACATTGGGAAATGATTGATGGTTTATGCTGATATTGTCCAAAAGCGCACGTTGAATGCTGGATGTTGTATGTATGCAGTGAATGAAGGCGTATTGAGACGGTCACACACACCGTCCTGTGGAAACCCTCTCGCTGGGGTTCTCTACCGCTGCTGCAAACACTCACTCACACTAAAGCCAGAATGCCATTTCACGATGCTTCATCATTACAAGAGCGCCAAAAAACAAAGCATCCCAACTCTTTTTCATTTGCTCTTATTGAACTGCGTTCTTTTTCCCTTGAATTGACCAGCTCACAGATCTCTGAGGCACGGTAAGTTATCTTCGCAACATCATTGATTCTCTATCTTTCCTTCTCCTCCTCCTCCCTCCAATGAAGATGAATGTTTCCACTTCCCCCACCACCGACCGCTGAACCCCAATGCATGAACTGAGCCAGTGTAAATGCAGTTGTGTAAGCGTTGCTCGTCCTCCGTCCGTCTGTGAAGTGTTGTTGCGTCTCATTCTGCTGCGCTGGTCGCGACTCTATTTATAAACTGGGCCTGATCCTTCGACCTGAGACTCGGGCTGGCGTGACGGGCACGGGGAGCCACACACACATCACATCGATCACATCGATCACATCAGTCACCGCACCCGACTGGTCCGCGACGCCGCGACTCTTATAGCCACTAAATCCCAGCCCAGAAGTTCCCATCATCCCTCCACACAGTAATGTCTTCAACATGTCAAGTGTGTGCTGAGACGTTTATGAATGTGTGATTTTGACTGTTCCCAGTTAAAGATGCGATGGTGTGTTTTGTCTTGCCCGCAGAAAGCACCCGGATGAACAGTATCCTCACCTCACAGACCGAGCCATACGATCTGTCCTTCTCTCGCTCCTTCCAGAGTCTCTCTCATCTCCCCCCTTCATACGAGTCTGCCGTGAAAGCTGACCTCAACAAATACTCCTCGCTCAAGAAACTAAGTATGTGCCAGTCTAATGTCCTCAGCTCTGATAATGATCTTTCTTTAGGGGTCTAAACCTCGAGACCCGCGTCCGTCCAGCGCTCGGTTTACTTCATTACATCTGCAGGCAAGGTTCAGTGTGTTCACATCAGTTACATATAGAAATACAGTCGCAATTGTGAGAAATAAAGTCAAAATTACAAGGAAATTGTTACAATTCACAATATCATTTATTTGACATTTTTTATTTTGTCAATACTATACAATAAGTTTCCATTTTTATGGATATTATAATTACAGTTATGAGAAAACAGTCTCAAATGTGAGATATAGAGTATCAAATCATTTTCAATTTAATGATATTTGTTGTAACACTTACTGTAGTAACGTTCAGTTTGTTGGCGTTCGCTAATGCAACAATGAACAGCACTTTTACAGCATTCATCCATTTAGGTCAATGTTAATTAACAGTGATAAAAGTAGATTTATTTATAAAATGACATTAACCTAGAACAAAAATTCCTGAATACATGGTTCATTCAGGTACTGTATTTCAGTGGAATTTCACATTCAGAAAGTGTAGATCTGGAGAGCTAGTGATAGTCTGCTAGTATGGGAGATTCAGCATTATATACAGTATATATCAATGCATGATTGCCGACGGCTTGATTCCAGAACGAGGCTCCTCCAGATCCCAGAAAGCAGTCGGCCTGTCAAGAGTCTTTTCCACTCCATCATGTCAATCAGCTCGTCTTATTCTCCGTCCGCTGCGCGAGATAGTCAGTAGTCAACATCCGAGCACGATTCATTGTTGATTCCTGTGTAAATGCATCTAAGCATCTCTGTAAACACACTGCGGCTTCTATAAAATCCCTATAGGCAAGCGTACCCGTAATGTAAGGCAGGGATCAGAGCCTTCACTTCATCCCGTCCGGATCCTCCTCCACAGGCGGCCATTATCCGCTCGCAGCGCTCCATCTGGATCTGATGTCTCTGAGTAAAGCTTTCTCGTGGCCTCAGCCCCATCGTATTGATTCAGCTAGTGGCAGGTTCTTTTGCTGTGTAATAAGGTCTCAGCTCATTATATTCCCTAAGTGAAGAGTAAATTCCCCTGAGGCTTGTGTAATTGCATAAAGAACGCTCCAGATCTCTCCCGGCCCTGAACCCTGGGAAACTGACAGGCCGCCTCATCTGCAGTTCCTCCGCGTCCGCCGAGCTTCTACAATCATACACTAAACTCTTCACGGCAGCAGACCTCCTCCTCCTCCTCCTCCTCCTCCTCTTCCTCGAGCCTCGATAAGCCTCCGGAGCGGGTTATTTCTTGTAGGCTGTAGCCGAAAGGCTTAGCGTTTCTTCTGGCGCTTCGGTGGAGTTTTGCTCTGACAGATCATGTTGGATGCAGCGTTTCTGTTAATAACATGCCCAGGATCTTCCTCCTCCTCCTCCTCCTCCTCTTCAGATGTTTGTTTTGCTAATATCCACAAACCTTCAAAAGGAGACTCCTTTATGAAGAAAGATTAATTGAATCTGTAATCACCATAAACCGATTATGTGCCATTAATTCCCCCCAATAACACGGTGTTGGTCCTTTCGGCGAGTGTGAGATAAATGCTGCTATTGAGCTCTTTTATCTCCTAACAAACTCAATCTCATTCCCTCAAGAGACGCGGTTTCAAAAGTCCCACAAATATGACTGCCACTTCCTCGGGCTGGGAATTATTGTGTACTTTTTTATTGTTCACAAACCTCTCATCACAGTTATTCGATTAATTCTCACTTAAAGGAAGATTTGTGGCTGTAATTTTGTTTGATACACTCCTTTATTGCATTCACTTGGATATGACTGGGCTCTAAATGTGTGGAGAAATCTATCAAGTGTAACTGATATCTCAAGGACATCAGCCTCCCCAGATTGTATTCATTACACCTCGAGCAGAGGATAATTTCATTATTTCCAGTTCCAATCATTACAGTAGAGTCCGGAGCGTCCGGGGCGAGTGTGTGTCCTGCATCTCTCCAGCTGTGACGCACCATCAGTCCTTCAGACAGAAGAACGTCTCTGCTTTAAAGTGTCTTATTCACTGTTAAAGGGTTAGTTCACCCAAAAATGATGTCATTAATGACTCTCCCTCATGTCGCTCCAAGCCCGTCAGACCTCCGTTCATCTCCGGAACACTGTTTAAGATATTTTAGATTTAGTCCGAGAGCTTTCTGTCCCTCCATTGGAAATGTATGTACGGTATACTGTCCTTGTCCAGAAAGGAAATAAAGACATCATCAAAGTAGTCCATGTGACATCAGTGGGTTAGTTAGAGTGTGTTGAAGCATCGGAAACACATTTTGGTCCAAAAATAACAAAAACTACGACTTTATTCAGCATTGTGTTGTGTTCCGGTTCTGTTGTGGATCCGCGTTCAGTGCCGCCGCTGACGTGTGTCTGGTGTGTGTGTGTGTGTGTGTGTGTATTCTGGTTCTGTTGTGGATCCGCGTTCAGTGCCGCCGCTGACGTAAGACACTGCTGACGTGTGTCTGGTGTGTGTGTGTGTGTGTGTGTGTGTGTGTGTGTATTCTGGTTCTGTTGTGGATCCGCGTTCAGTGCCGCCGCTGACGTGTGTCTGGTGTGTGTGTGTGTGTGTGTGTATTCGGGTTCTGTTGTGGATCCGCGTTCAGTGCCGCCGCTGACGTAAGACGCTGCTGACGTGTGTCTGGTGTGTGTGTGTGTGTGTGTGTGTGTGTGTGTGTGTGTATTCCGGTTCTGTTGTGGATCCGCGTTCAGTGCCGCTGCTGACGTGTGTCTGGTGTGTGTGTGTGTGTGTGTGTGTATTCGGGTTCTGTTGTGGATCCGCGTTCAGTGCCGCCGCTGACGTAAGACGCTGCTGACGTGTGTCTGGTGTGTGTGTGTGTGTGTGTGTGTGTGTGTGTATTCCGGTTCTGTTGTGGATCCGCGTTCAGTGCCGCTGCTGACGTGTGTCTGGTGTGTGTGTGTGTGTGTGTGTGTGTGTATTCGGGTTCTGTTGTGGATCCGCGTTCAGTGCCGCCGCTGACGTAAGACGCTGCTGACGTGTGTCTGGTGTGTGTGTGTGTGTGTGTGTGTGTGTGTGTATTCCGGTTCTGTTGTGGATCCGCGTTCAGTGCCGCTGCTGACGTGTGTCTGGTGTGTGTGTGTGTGTGTGTGTGTGTGTATTCGGGTTCTGTTGTGGATCCGCGTTCAGTGCCGCCGCTGACGTAAGACGCTGCTGACGTGTGTCTGGTGTGTGTGTGTGTGTGTGTGTGTGTGTGTGTGTGTCTGGTGCGCCCGAGCTTCGTCTACAGTCTGAGGGAGACGCACGCTGGAAACAAAACAATCTTCACAAACATGTCTAAGGATTTCCACACAGAGGAAGACTTGCATTTTTTTGCCCAGCCATATTTATTTGAACCCGAATACACGGGCGCACCAGACACACACACACACACACACACACACCAGACACACGTCAGCAGCGTCTTACGTCAGCGGCGGCACTGAACGCGGATCCACAACAGAACCCGAACACACACACACACACACACACACACACACACACACACCAGACACACGTCAGCGGCGGCACTGAACGCGGATCCACAACAGAACCGGAATACACACACACACACACACACACACACACACACCAGACACACGTCAGCGGCGGCACTGAACGCGGATCCACAACAGAACCGGAATACACACACACACACACACACACACACCAGACACACGTCAGCAGCGTCTTACGTCAGCGGCGGCACTGAACGCGGATCCACAACAGAACCCGAACACACACACACACACACACACACACACACACACACACACACACACACACACACACACCAGACACACGTCAGCGGCGGCACTGAACGTGGATCCACAACAGAACCCGAACACACACACACACACACACACACACACACACACACACACACACACACACCAGACACACGTCAGCGGCGGCACTGAACGCGGATCCACAACAGAACCGGAACACACACACACACACACACCAGACACACGTCAGCAGCGTCTTACGTCAGCGGCGGCACTGAACGCGGATCCACAACAGAACCGGAACACAACACAATGCTGAATAAAGTCGTAGTTTTTGTTATTTTTGGACCAAAATGTATTTTCGATGCTTCAACACACTCTAACTAACCCACTGATGTCACATGGACTACTTTGATGATGTCTTTATTTCCTTTCTGGACAAGGACAGTATACCGTACATACATTTCCAATGGAGGGACAGAAAGCTCTCGGACTAAATCTAAAATATCTTAAACAGTGTTCCGGAGATGAACGGAGGTCTGACGGGCTTGGAGCGACACGAGGGAGAGCCATTAATGACATCATTTTTGGGTGAACTAACCCTTTAACACATTCGAACTGGTCAATCGCCATGCGCTGTTAGTATTGCGAGAGTTTTAGTCGATTTCACACATTTTAGTTTGGCAATAGTTCAACAAGTAAAATGTGTAGGCCTACGAGTTTATTTAACAATAACACGGTAATTAATGTAAGTAAGAATAATGACTTACTGGCAGAAATGATATCAATCGCATTCTTCTTCTTCTGAGGTAAATTCTTCCAAACTCGATAAAAAGCAGAAGGATCTGAAGTGTGATGTGTTGTGTATCGAGCGGATGGAGGCGTTTACAGGTTGCGTGTCTCGAGGACGATTACCGTACGAATATCTTGTGCTGTGTGTGGCCACATTAAAATAATGAGCTCAGAAGGGAAATACTGTCTTGTTGGTTTCATACAGATTACATAAAAAGAGAATATTTGTTTTCGATATGACTTACATAATTTAAAAGTAGACACTTCAATCTTTCTAAAGACTTATCTCTCATGTCTGTGTGGCAAGTATTCGCTGAGTTTCGGTTCATTTTTGTGACGCGTTTCAGAAAGAAGTTCACAGAGACTGAGACGGCAGAAAGTGCACCCTGTTCGTTTTCTTCATTATACAAAAAAAAAGAGTGTATACAAAAATACAAGTAGATCCTTAAGGCCAATTCACACTGCACAGACAAACGCACCCGACTGAACATGTCTGTGCGTTTGTTGGGTCGTGGAATGTCTGAGCAGTGTGGTCGGATTTTCCAACAAACGACAACAAACTCTGACGTAATCTGGCCTGGTCAGGAACTGGGTTCACGAATGACGATGAGGCAAGTCCCTTGCAAAGTAGGCGCTGAGCGTCCTTAGTAAATCATCCTTGTAGAGAAAATGGCAGGTTTCTGGACAAACCAGAAGACATTTCTAGAGAAAGAGCAGGGAGATTCTTGCGAGAGCACACTGGAGGACAGTTTGAGAACGCCCGCGTGAAAGCTGAGCGAGAGCAGAGCCATATTTGAAAGCGCGCGTCCAGTAAGTTTTGTGCTAGAGTGAAAGAAAGGGAGTCATGGATGCACTCTCGGGTTACAATAGTGCGCTCTCGTCATGTAACGCCATTGAAACCGCCTCAAATGAACTATAAAGAGTAGACCCATTTCGTATTTAGGGTCTTTACAGTTGTCATAGAGATGAGAAGAAAGTCGTGTCTGAAAGCTGCAATCTTTTATTTTTATTTGTTCAAATGAATGTAAAATATCTTGTATTTGTCCGTGGGTGCTCGAGTTTGTCGGTGTCTGTTGAGGCAGTGTGAACACGACCCTCCAACGGCCATCTTGTTTGTTGGCGTTTGTCTGTGGGTGGGAATAGGCCTTTACAGTTTCAAATGATGTATTACTCATTACTGTATGACAAAACTTGAGTATTTTAAGTTTTCAGGAAAAAATGCAAGTGATTAAAATCCAATCGTTATTACGTTTTATAAACGAGGCCTCAGGACCCTGCAGTGGCAAGTTACCTTGTTTTCAGGATACTTGAATACTCTGACACTTACACTGCTTGTGCTTTCCCACAGCGGATAAGGACGTCGACGACTACTACACCAGGAAGAGGAATCTCCCAGACCTGGCGGCCCGAGGAACTCTTCCTCTGCACATGATGAAGATGAACCAGGATCCCCCGAGCAGCCAGCAGCCGCAGCCAGCGCCCCGCCAGCGCCCCCGCCGGGTCCAGAGGGCCATGTCCCAGGACCGCGTGCTGTCCCCCGAACGCAGCCAGGAGCTCGACTACCCCACGTCCCCCTACGCCATCTCCCCGTACGGCGGGCGGATCCTGTCCGACGAGCAGCTCCTGTCGGCCGAGCGTCTGCGCTCCCACGAGCGGCTCATCTCGCAGGAACGCCACTACTCGCAGGAGCGCATCCACGCGCAGGACCGGCTCTACTCTCAGGAACGCCTGCATTCCCAGGACCGCCTCCATTCCCAGGACCGCCTCTACTCGCAGGATCCACTCATCTCTCCCGACAAGATGATGTCCATCAAGCGCTCCGGGTTCCCCAACGACAAGTCCATGTCTAGAGCCATATCGCACACGGACGTGTTCATGCCCACCACGCCCCTCCTGGACCGATATAAGATGACCAAAATGCACTCCCATCCCAGTGCCTCGAACAACACGCCACAGAACACTTCCACCATGAACCAGACGGCCTCCAAGAGACAGGCCTTCGCCTCGCGCCGCACACAGACGGTGGAGCAGCTCCACTACGTGCCGCAGCACCACCACCACTACCGCACCGGGAGCAAGACCGAAGTAACTGTTTAACCGCTCGCGGGCCGGCAGAAGCATACACTCGTCTCAGATCCGGTTCTGCAGGAACTGACCCAGCACCAGCTACTCTAGAGCCACACCCAGACCCTCCTGTGTGCATTTCCATCCAGTTATATGTGTTTGTTTATCACTAATGAGGAAGGACTTCTGCATTTGTAAGGGCTTTGCATGGGGATTCGCAGACTGCGTCAGAAGAAAGAACGTATGATGAAAGGTATAGACATGGAACAGAAGTGTATACATTTATATATAAATACACACTATATATATATATATATATATAAAAAAATACAAATACTGTTTGTACTTCCGGTCCTAGTCAATAGCTTTAGAAGTTCTTATGATGTTCGCGCACTTCTTTTGGTGCCTCTACGAAAACGTTCCATTTCAACAACGAAGTGGTTTTGTGGGTTAACAAGCACAATCAAGTAAAAGTTGAGTTTGGTTTTGTTCATTCGCTCTGTGGGTGATGGCTAGCATATATCAGTTTGTTCTTCAATTAATGGCCATTCATTATTTTGCGAAGATGATTGTAAATAAGCTCTTTTAGCACCAGTAAATGGACGAGTCTGTTCTGGTTGGCATTTGTATTATTGTAGTTTGATTTTTAGAGATTCAAGACTTCTTCAGAACTATAGAGAACCCACTAACCCAGTGTTGGACCATTTAAAGTAATATGATACTGTATGTGTGTCCGTTCAAATGTGTTTGTAGAATGAGAATCGGGCGAATGTTGCTGAAAAATATGTTGATTTCTGGCTGTAGACTGTGTTGCAGTGACTCACAAGACAAATGAGTATATTATGCTTATTGTAGTAGCTTCAAATAAACCGTCCTTATTTTTCTAAACATTAACATATATGTGGAAAAGGTTCATGTGCCTCAAAAAACGCTGAAATATTAAAGAGCTCCAATCTAATAGTCCATGAAATCTGGGTGGCTAAATTCAGATGCATTGAGAAAAACACAAAGATGCATTCTTCTTTTCGTTTTATGTGGGTAAGTTTCATAAAAAAGCAAAAAATCATGTTTTTATCAAAGGCTTTGTCCGGATGAGATTCAGAAGGATGATCATAAGCACAGATGGAGTAGATCGAGTCCATCAACACATCGGAGCACCGTTTCCTCCTCATGGGTTCAACATGTCATTCAGTTTTGATTTATATGCTGTTTAATGTTTGTTGATCGCATTATAATTTACATGTGCGCCAGCAATGCTTCTATCACTTGTTTCTGTTTCTTCTTTTGTGTTTTGATCCTGAGATTCTGAACTCTTTCAGAAGATTAACAGTGAAAACATGGATTGCCTTCAATGGCGGGGAAAGAGTTCATGAAAGTGAATGAGGAAAAAATGACAATGACGAAGCAAGATGTGGCTCTCGCGCAATATTCCAAACTAGCTTTGTTGAAGAACATGTTCATTTGAGTTCATGAGAGAATTAACAATGTCTGGTTTGTGAACAAAAAAGTTATTTTTAATCATTTTCCCCTCAAAGAATGAATCGAACTAGTTTACAAAAACGTGGTGAATGATTCCTAGTGCAAAGGTCATGTGGAGGTGATGCTGGAATACTTCAGACCCGCTTCTGCTATTGCCTGGAGAAGAGCGGCCAGCACATTATTCCGAGTTCCTCCTTTTGTGTTCCAGGAGTAAATAAAGTCCCAGGTTAGGAACGACACGAGGCAAACTCTCCTTCTCAGGTGAATTCTCTATTTTACCATGTATTTCACCAGCTTTTCTTCAGGCGAGTACATGACAACCTCGCCTCAAAGGTTCAGGAAAGCACTTATTCACTTTTACATGCTTTTGGGTATATTTACAAATCATGTTACAGTTTAACTTCGGAAACACTTGTGTAAAATAGTCTGAGAGAAAAAGAAATGCAATTACTTACAGCTAGAAATCGTCCCGTCCTCCAGCAGAGACAGAGAAAGCCGATGTATCTGAAAACTAACCAACCAAATATGCTTCAGCAACTACGTGATATATTGGGTTATTTTATCATTTTTTTGGACATGTGAATTAATTCCCGCTGCTTGCGTCCCAGCCGGAGAAACCTCCTTTAAATTCATTGAACTTCAGGAGGGAAAATGCAATTCTCACACACAAACAAAACCTTTTGCATTTGCATTTCTTTATTTGCAAAAGCTTTATGGGTGAGACGGACTCGCATCTGCGATCCTCGTACCTCTCTTCTTCCCTATCAGCATTTAGATGAAAATATGACACTTAAATGGAGTCTGTGTAGCAGATTGGCAGTAAAACAGACACTAAAGCTTCCTCTGTGTGCAAATGGCCGTCGACGAAAACATCACATATGACCGATGAAGAGCCTCCGGGTCTCTGCTCCCGACAGCAGTCTTCAGTCCAAACACGTCTCCTGCTAACACTGTTACCCGCTAATGTTGAGGTATAAGGCACCAACATGTATAACATTTATTTATATGCAGGTATAAGGCATCTGTGTGTGAATCTGCAGCATTATTCGTCAATTGTTTAGCATCTGTCAGTCAGAACGGCCGAGTGCAAAAACAGCAGATGCGTCACTGAACACACACGACTCCATCATGCTCTTAAGGACTCTCAGAAGGCTTGAATACACCACATACATCTTCATATTCCACACAGCACTTGTGAATAATATAGGCAATGGTGCATTTCTAAAGCTTTTAAAGAAACGAAGAGGCTCCGAGCGCTTCCATTAAGTTTACAGTTTGCTCTTGTCTCAAATTAGCATATTTCAGAAAGCCAAAGAGAAGAAACGCCACGATCCTCTGGAAATTAGCATACAGCCTGCTTTAATATTACATACTGCGCCATCGCAGGCTCGTGTGAGTGATTCCTCGAGACTGACCTGTAGCCTAGCAACCAGCGCTTCCCGCGCAAAGCGTTACAGCTCCTCCTTCAGATTCTGCCTTACCGTGTGTGTGTGTGTGTGTGTGTGTGGCTGAGCAGGAGTCGGTCTGAGGACCCTGCCTTACCATGTGTGTGTGTGTGTGTGTGTGTGTGTGTGTGTGTGTGTGTGTGTGTGTGTGTGTGTGTGTGCTTTACTGAAGATCTCCTTACTGTACGTTATGAGCCACTGGGGAAACACAAGCTAACCTCCTTCTTCGTATTTGAAAATACTTACAACTATCAACACAACATTACATGTTTAAAGGTCTAGTTCAACCACAAATGACATCATGTCATGTGATTGTCTTTCTTTCTTTCTATGCAGATGAACTACCCATTAAAGTAGTTCATCTGCAGTTTAACACTGAACTCTTAAAGCTCATTTGCACTTGTGCATGTTCTACAAGTGTGTCACAAAATGTCTTCATCTTCGACACACAAACCATTGGCTTGCTTAGTTGGGGAGATTTCATATCCAACAATATTATTGATCTCCTGCATTGACAGCATTATATGAGAACTGAACTGAGCTGGACGATGACATCACGGTTTACTCCAGAGCGGCTGTATATATAAATGAACTAAATTAATAACTTTTTACAACAGAAATGCATCATCAGTGAACTCACTGAAGCTGGACGGAGACGCTATGCTGGGCCAGACCCGCTCCGCTCCTCTTCTAGCGCTCCACGGGCCGCAGTGTGAGGCCAGACCCGCTCCGTTCCTCTTCTAGCGCTCCACGGGCCGCAGTGTGAGGCCAGACCCGCTCCGATCCTCTTCTAGCGCTCCACGGGCCGCAGTGTGAGGCCAGACCCGCTCCGTTCCTCTTCTAGCGCTCCACGGGCCGCAGTGTAAGGCCAGACCCGCTCCGTTCCTCTTCTAGCGCTCCACGGGCCGCAGTGTAAGGCCAGACCCGCTCCGTTCCTCTTCTAGCGCTCCACGGGCCGCAGTGTAAGGCCAGACCCGCTCCGATCCTCTTCTAGCGCTCCACGGGCCGCAGTGTGAGGCCAGACCCGCTCCGTTCCTCTTCTAGCGCTCCACGGGCCGCAGTGTAAGGCCAGACCCACTCCGTTCCTCTTCTAGCGCTCCACGGGCCGCAGTGTGAGGCCAGACCCGCTCCGCTCCTCTTCTAGCGCTCCACGGGCCGCAGTGTGAGGCCAGACCCGCTCCGTTCCTCTTCTAGCGCTCCACGGGCCGCAGTGTAAGGCCAGACCCGCTCCGTTCCTCTTCTAGCGCTCCACGGGCCGCAGTGTGAGGCCAGACCCGCTCCGCTCCTCTTCTAGCGCTCCACGGGCCGCAGTGTGAGGCCAGACCCGCTCCGTTCCTCTTCTAGCGCTCCACGGGCCGCAGTGTAAGGCCAGACCCGCTCCGTTCCTCTTCTAGCGCTCCACGGGCCGCAGTGTAAGGCCAGACCCGCTCCGTTCCTCTTCTAGCGCTCCACGGGCCGCAGTGTTAGGCCAGACCCGCTCCGCTCCTCTTCTAGCGCTCCACGGGCCGCAGTGTGAGGCCAGACCCGCTCCGTTCCTCTTCTAGCGCTCCACGGGCCGCAGTGTGAGGCCAGACCCGCTCCGCTCCTCTTCTAGCGCTCCACGGGCCGCAGTGTAAGGCCAGACCCGCTCCGTTCCTCTTCTAGCGCTCCACGGGCCGCAGTGTGAGGCCAGACCCGCTCCGCTCCTCTTCTAGCGCTCCACGGGCCGCAGTGTAAGGCCAGACCCGCTCCGTTCCTCTTCTAGCGCTCCACGGGCCGCAGTGTAAGGCCAGACCCGCTCCGTTCCTCTTCTAGCGCTCCACGGGCCGCAGTGTAAGGCCAGACCCGCTCCGTTCCTCTTCTAGCGCTCCACGGGCCGCAGTGTGAGGCCAGACCCGCTCCGCTCCTCTTCTAGCGCTCCACGGGCCGCAGTGTAAGGCCAGACCCGCTCCGTTCCTCTTCTAGCGCTCCACGGGCCGCAGTGTGAGGCCAGACCCGCTCCGCTCCTCTTCTAGCGCTCCACGGGCCGCAGTGTAAGGCCAGACCCGCTCCGTTCCTCTTCTAGCGCTCCACGGGCCGCAGTGTGAGGCCAGACCCGCTCCGCTCCTCTTCTAGCGCTCCACGGGCCGCAGTGTAAGGCCAGACCCGCTCCGTTCCTCTTCTAGCGCTCCACGGGCCGCAGTGTGAGGCCAGACCCGCTCCGCTCCTCTTCTAGCGCTCCACGGGCCGCAGTGTAAGGCCAGACCCGCTCCGTTCCTCTTCTAGCGCTCCACGGGCCGCAGTGTGAGGCCAGACCCGCTCCGCTCCTCTTCTAGCGCTCCACGGGCCGCAGTGTAAGGCCAGACCCGCTCCGTTCCTCTTCTAGCGCTCCACGGGCCGCAGTGTGAGGCCAGACCCGCTCCGCTCCTCTTCTAGCGCTCCACGGGCCGCAGTGTGAGGCCAGACCCGCTCCGTTCCTCTTCTAGCGCTCCACGGGCCGCAGTGTTAGGCCAGACCCGCTCCGCTCCTCTTCTAGCGCTCCACGGGCCGCAGTGTGAGGCCAGACCCGCTCCGTTCCTCTTCTAGCGCTCCACGGGCCGCAGTGTGAGGCCAGACCCGCTCCGTTCCTCTTCTAGCGCTCCACGGGCCGCAGTGTGAGGCCAGACCCGCTCCGCTCCTCTTCTAGCGCTCCACGGGCCGCAGTGTAAGGCCAGACCCGCTCCGTTCCTCTTCTAGCGCTCCACGGGCCGCAGTGTGAGGCCAGACCCGCTCCGCTCCTCTTCTAGCGCTCCACGGGCCGCAGTGTGAGGCCAGACCCGCTCCGTTCCTCTTCTAGCGCTCCACGGGCCGCAGTGTAAGGCCAGACCCGCTCCGTTCCTCTTCTAGCGCTCCACGGGCCGCAGTGTAAGGCCAGACCCGCTCCGTTCCTCTTCTAGCGCTCCACGGGCCGCAGTGTAAGGCCAGACCCGCTCCGTTCCTCTTCTAGCGCTCCACGGGCCGCAGTGTGAGGCCAGACCCGCTCCGCTCCTCTTCTAGCGCTCCACGGGCCGCAGTGTAAGGCCAGACCCGCTCCGTTCCTCTTCTAGCGCTCCACGGGCCGCAGTGTAAGGCCAGACCCGCTCCGTTCCTCTTCTAGCGCTCCACGGGCCGCAGTGTAAGGCCAGACCCGCTCCGTTCCTCTTCTAGCGCTCCACGGGCCGCAGTGTAAGGCCAGACCCGCTCCGTTCCTCTTCTAGCGCTCCACGGGCCGCAGTGTAAGGCCAGACCCGCTCCGTTCCTCTTCTAGCGCTCCACGGGCCGCAGTGTGAGGCCAGACCCGCTCCGCTCCTCTTCTAGCGCTCCACGGGCCGCAGTGTAAGGCCAGACCCGCTCCGTTCCTCTTCTAGCGCTCCACGGGCCGCAGTGTAAGGCCAGACCCGCTCCGTTCCTCTTCTAGCGCTCCACGGGCCGCAGTGTAAGGCCAGACCCGCTCCGTTCCTCTTCTAGCGCTCCACGCGCCGCAGTGTAAGGCCAGACCCGCTCCGTTCCTCTTCTAGCGCTCCACGGGCCGCAGTGTAAGGCCAGACCCGCTCCGTTCCTCTTCTAGCGCTCCACGGGCCGCAGTGTGAGGCCAGACCCGCTCCGTTCCTCTTCTAGCGCTCCACGGGCCGCAGTGTAAGGCCAGACCCGCTCCGTTCCTCTTCTAGCGCTCCACGGGCCGCAGTGTAAGGCCAGACCCGCTCCGTTCCTCTTCTAGCGCTCCACGGGCCGCAGTGTGAGGCCAGACCCGCTCCGCTCCTCTTCTAGCGCTCCACGGGCCGCAGTGTAAGGCCAGACCCGCTCCGTTCCTCTTCTAGCGCTCCACGGGCCGCAGTGTGAGGCCAGACCCGCTCCGCTCCTCTTCTAGCGCTCCACGGGCCGCAGTGTGAGGCCAGACCCACTCCGCTCCTCCGATCCCTGATGTGATCTTCAGTTTTGAGATCACCGATTATAATTTGCTTCCAATGAAAGCATCTTCAAAATGGCGACCTGTGTTTGAGGAAGCGCTGCTGATCCCAGCCTGGGGATATTCAAATTAAATGACCCATCATACCACTGATCAGCTCTACCAAACTTGGATGTCTTTTTCCATTAATAAACAAACACTGTTAAGTTGTTTTGATTGATACTGTGAAGCAGCTTTGATACAATCTGTATTGTGAAAAGTGCTATATAAATATATTTGACTTGACTTGACTTGCTGTCGAACGGATTGACTGATCATGTGTTACTGAGTCTCGTTTCAGCTCTTCTGTTGTGTTGTTGTGCTTTAGCTGGAGATTCACGTCAAATTTAATGACCAGTTTGTTCAGAAATCCAGGTAAATGCATAGGTTCACACACTTATTTTCTGCAAATGTAGAAGAAAACTCAGTCTTCATAAAAGCATCTTTAAGCATTATTATTATTATTTTATTTTATTATCTGATGCCTGAAACCTCACGCTTTCCTGTGATGCCTTACGAGAAATGCAAATCTAGTTAAAATGTGTATTCCGAGAACAAAGCCTCTCGACCGCTACGGCTCGAATAAACGAGTAGCACATTAATCATAATTAACTGATGTGAACACAAACAAATGGAGAAGCAGGTTCCCTTACATTTTGTGTCTGTTTGTACAAATGGTTCATATTTATTTCTCTATCGTGTTCGTCTGATATCCCTTACACTGGAACACGAGAGAGGAAGAAAGCTCAGTAATGGATTCTGGACAGATGTATTGCTCCACGTCTTCAGTTTCCCAGTGGCCCGTTTCAGTGTCTTCAATAACAGATCCCAGCGGCCCGAGGCTCGGGTCCACCGCCTGACACCTCGCGTCAGTGTGACAGAACACACAGATCTGGAGAACAGAAGTCAAGCACATCTAGGAAAGTAAAACTCAAAGAAACAAATACGAAACAGGAGAATTTGGTCAAGCTGCTTTTAATCTGACTTCACAGCACGTCTGTGCAAACATCGCATTGCATTGTTGAATGATGAACACTATTAAATACTACTAATGTAAAAACTCATATATGATATAAATCATGAACTCCTGCACTCAAATCTGCAGCAGCAGGGCGACGCCAGCGAGGGTCCACTTGGACGGGCTGTCTTTGGTCCGGAGGTTGAAGGTCCACACGTACGTGGGCCCGCGCTGCCGGGTCTTATAGACAGGGCACTGGTACAGGCTGCGCAGGTCCTGCTTGTCTACCGGGATCGCCTTGATGAATATCACAGGCATCGCGGGCGTCAGCTCCTTCAGACGGGCATCCACCATGATCCCAGCCTGCAGGACACACACACACACGCACGAGCGCACACCACACACACACCACACCACACACACACACACACACACACACACACACACACACACATTAAATAATGTCAAGTCATAATGTCATATACTGTATATTCATAATTACATGAAGTACAGATCATTTGAAAAACAGCATGAAATGGACATTGTGATTGAGTTCTCCACCCTATTCTGATGAATATCCCAGTGAAATGTCTGATAAAAGATTACGAGGGCACATACATTTATAATGTTTTATATTTCACTGCAATCTTCCTTTAAAAATGTCCACGTTGACTTCATGGAGACTTATGAGGATTATAAGGATTATAAGGATATAAGGATTATATGATAAAACAATAAGACAAGTGACTTCCAACAGATACATTTCTTGACAATAATATTGTCATATAGCAACTTGGTGAAGTGGATTCACAATCAGATTTTAAAGTTGTGATCGGTTTCATAATGTTTGTTAATGACAGATTTAATGTGATTGAGTTCCTGTTGGCCACAGTATAAGGGATCTTGTGTAAAGTACAGTAGGTACAGTGGTTAGCTTCGGCCTGCACTCTCTGAGCGGTGTTCTCTGAGCAGTGTTCTCTGAGCGGTGTTCTCTGAGCGGTGTTCTCTGTTCTCTGAGCGGTGTTCTCTGAGCAGTGTTCTCTGAGCGGTGTTCTCTGAGCAGTGTTCTCTGAGCGGTGTTCTCTGAGCAGTGTTCTCTGAGCGGTGTTCTCTGAGCGGTGTTCTCTGTTCTCTGAGCGGTGTTCTCTGTTCTCTGAGCAGTGTTCTCTGAGCGGTGTTCTCTGAGCAGTGTTCTCTGAGCGGTGTTCTCTGAGCGGTGTTCTCTGAGCTGTGTTCTCTGAGCGGTGTTCTCTGAGCGGTGTTCTCTGAGCTGTGTTCTCTGAGCGGTGTTCTCTGTTCTCTGAGCTGTGTTCTCTGAGCGGTGTTCTCTGAGAGGTGTTCTCTGAGCGGTGTTCTCTGAGCGGTGTTCTCTGTTCTCTGAGCGGTGTTCTCTGAGCGGTGTTCTCTGAGCTGTGTTCTCTGAGCAGTGTTCTCTGAGCAGTGTTCTCTGAGCGGTGTTCTCTGAGCGGTGTTCTCTGAGCGGTGTTCTCTGAGCGGTGTTCTCTGAGAGGTGTTCTCTGAGAGGTGTTCTCTGAGCGGTGTTCTCTGAGCGGTGTTCTCTGAGCGGTGTTCTCTGTTCTCTGAGCGGTGTTCTCTGTTCTCTGAGCGGTGTTCTCTGAGCGGTGTTCTCTGTTCTCTGAGCGGTGTTCTCTGAGCGGTGTTCTCTGTTCTCTGAGCGGTGTTCTCTGTTCTCTGAGCGGTGTTCTCTGAGCGGTGTTCTCTGTTCTCTGAGTGGTGTTCTCTGAGCGGTGTGCTATGAGCGGTGTTCTCTGTTCTCTGAGCTGTGTTCTCTGAGCGGTGTTCTCTGAGAGGTGTTCTCTGAGCGGTGTTCTCTGAGCGGTGTTCTCTGTTCTCTGAGCGGTGTTCTCTGAGCGGTGTTCTCTGAGCTGTGTTCTCTGAGCAGTGTTCTCTGAGCAGTGTTCTCTGAGCTGTGTTCTCTGAGCGGTGTTCTCTGAGCGGTGTTCTCTGAGCGGTGTTCTCTGAGCGGTGTTCTCTGAGCGGTGTTCTCTGAGAGGTGTTCTCTGAGAGGTGTTCTCTGAGCGGTGTTCTCTGAGCGGTGTTCTCTGAGCGGTGTTCTCTGTTCTCTGAGCGGTGTTCTCTGTTCTCTGAGCGGTGTTCTCTGAGCGGTGTTCTCTGTTCTCTGAGCGGTGTTCTCTGAGCGGTGTTCTCTGTTCTCTGAGCGGTGTTCTCTGTTCTCTGAGCGGTGTTCTCTGAGCGGTGTTCTCTGTTCTCTGAGTGGTGTTCTCTGAGCGGTGTGCTATGAGCGGTGTTCTCTGAGCAGTGTTCTCTGAGCGGTGTTCTCTGAGCGGTGTTCTCTGAGAGGTGTTCTCTGAGAGGTGTTCTCTGAGAGGTGTTCTCTGAGCGGTGTTCTCTGAGCGGTGTTCTCTGAGCGGTGTTCTCTGTTCTCTGAGCGGTGTTCTCTGTTCTCTGAGCGGTGTTCTCTGAGCGGTGTTCTCTGTTCTCTGAGCGGTGTTCTCTGAGCGGTGTTCTCTGAGCGGTGTTCTCTGTTCTCTGAGCGGTGTTCTCTGAGCGGTGTTCTCTGTTCTCTGAGTGGTGTTCTCTGAGCGGTGTGCTATGAGCGGTGTTCTCTGTTCTCTGAGCTGTGTTCTCTGAGCGGTGTTCTCTGAGAGGTGTTCTCTGAGCGGTGTTCTCTGAGCGGTGTTCTCTGTTCTCTGAGCGGTGTTCTCTGAGCGGTGTTCTCTGAGCTGTGTTCTCTGAGCAGTGTTCTCTGAGCAGTGTTCTCTGAGCGGTGTTCTCTGAGCGGTGTTCTCTGAGCGGTGTTCTCTGAGCGGTGTTCTCTGAGCGGTGTTCTCTGAGAGGTGTTCTCTGAGAGGTGTTCTCTGAGCGGTGTTCTCTGAGCGGTGTTCTCTGAGCGGTGTTCTCTGTTCTCTGAGCGGTGTTCTCTGTTCTCTGAGCGGTGTTCTCTGAGCGGTGTTCTCTGTTCTCTGAGCGGTGTTCTCTGAGCGGTGTTCTCTGTTCTCTGAGCGGTGTTCTCTGTTCTCTGAGCGGTGTTCTCTGAGCGGTGTTCTCTGTTCTCTGAGTGGTGTTCTCTGAGCGGTGTGCTATGAGCGGTGTTCTCTGAGCAGTGTTCTCTGAGCGGTGTTCTCTGAGCGGTGTTCTCTGAGAGGTGTTCTCTGAGAGGTGTTCTCTGAGCGGTGTTCTCTGATCGGTGTTCTCTGAGCGGTGTTCTCTGAGCGGTGTTCTCTGTTCTCTGAGCGGTGTTCTCTGAGTGGTGTTCTCTGTTCTCTGAGCGGTGTTCTCTGTTCTCTGAGCGGTGTTCTCTGAGCGGTGTTCTCTGTTCTCTGAGCGGTGTTCTCTGTTCTCTGAGTGGTGTTCTCTGTTCTCTGAGCGGTGTTCTCTGAGCGGTGTTCTCTGAGAGGTGTTCTCTGAGCGGTGTTCTCTGAGCGGTGTTCTCTGAGAGGTGTTCTCTGTTCTCTGAGCGGTGTTCTCTGTTCTCTGAGCGGTGTTCTCTGAGCGGTGTTCTCTGAGAGGTGTTCTCTGAGCGGTGTTCTCTGAGCGGTGTTCTCTGAGAGGTGTTCTCTGTTCTCTGAGCGGTGTTCTCTGAGCGGTGTTCTCTGTTCTCTGAGCGGTGTTCTCTGAGCGGTGTTCTCTGAGCGGTGTTCTCTGAGCAGTGTTCTCTGAGCGGTGTTCTCTGAGCGGTGTTCTCTGAGCAGTGTTCTCTGAGCGGTGTTCTCTGAGCGGTGTTCTCTGAGCAGTGTTCTCTGAGCGGTGTTCTCTGAGCGGTGTTCTCTGAGAGGTGTTCTCTGAGAGGTGTTCTCTGAGCGGTGTTCTCTGAGCGGTGTTCTCTGAGAGGTGTTCTCTGTTCTCTGAGCGGTGTTCTCTGTTCTCTGAGCGGTGTTCTCTGAGCGGTGTTCTCTGAGCAGTGTTCTCTGAGCGGTGTTCTCTGAGCGGTGTTCTCTGAGCAGTGTTCTCTGAGCGGTGTTCTCTGAGCGGTGTTCTCTGAGCGGTGTTCTCTGAGCGGTGTTCTCTGAGAGGTGTTCTCTGAGAGGTGTTCTCTGTTCTCTGAGCGGTGTTCTCTGAGCGGTGTTCTCTGAGAGGTGTTCTCTGAGCGGTGTTCTCTGTTCTCTGAGCGGTGTTCTCTGAGCGGTGTTCTCTGTTCTCTGAGCGGTGTTCTTTCTCTGAGCGGTGTTCTCTGAGCGGTGTTCTCTGAGCGGTGTTCTCTGAGCGGTGTTCTCTGAGCGGTGTTCTCTGAGCGGTGTTCTCTGAGCGGTGTTCTCTGTTCTCTGAGCGGTGTTCTCTGAGCGGTGTTCTCTGTTCTCTGAGCGGTGTTCTCTGAGCGGTGTTCTCTGTTCTCTGAGCTGTGTTCTCTGAGCGGTGTTCTCTGAGCGGTGTTCTCTGAGCGGTGTTCTCTGTTCTCTGAGCTGTGTTCTCTGTTCTCTGAGCTGTGTTCTCTGAGCTGTGTTCTCTGAGCGGTGTTCTCTGAGCGGTGTTCTCTGTTCTCTGAGCGGTGTTCTCTGTTCTCTGAGCGGTGTTCTCTGAGCTGTGTTCTCTGAGCGGTGTTCTCTGTTCTCTGAGCGGTGTTCTCTGAGCGCTGTGTTCTCTGAGCGGTGTTCTCTGAGCGGTGTTCTCTGAGCGGTGTTCTCTGAGCGGTGTTCTCTGAGCGGTGTTCTCTGTTCTCTGAGCGGTGTTCTCTGAGCGGTGTTCACTGTTCTCTGAGCGGTGTTCTCTGAGCGGTGTTCTCTGTTCTCTGAGCTGTGTTCTCTGAGCGGTGTTCTCTGAGCTGTGTTCTCTGAGCTGTGTTCTCTGAGCTGTGTTCTCTGAGCGGTGTTCTCTGAGCGGTGTTCTGAGCGGTGTTCTCTGAGCGGTGTTCTCTGAGCGGTGTTCTCTGAGCGGGTTTCTCTGAGCGGTGTTCTCTGAGCGGTGTTCTCTGTTCTCTGAGCAGTGTTCTCTGAGCGGTGTTCTCTGAGTGGTGTTCTCTGAGCGGTGTTCTCTGTTCTGTGTTCTCTGAGCGGTGTTCTCTGAGCGGTGTTCTCTGAGCGGTGTTCTCTAAGCGGTGTTCTCTGTTCTCTGAGCGGTGTTCTTTGCTCTCTGAGCGGTGTTCTCTGTTCTCTGAGCTGTGTTCTCTGAGCCGTGTTCTCTGAGCGGTGTTCTCTGAGCGGTGTTCTCTGAGCGGTGTTCTCTGAGCGGTGTTCTCTGAGCGGTGTTCTCTGAGCGGTGTTCTCTGTTCTCTGAGCGGTGTTCTGTGAGCGGTGTTCTCTGAGCGGTGTTCTCTGAGCGGTGTTCTCTGAGCGGTGTTCTCTGAGCGGTGTTCTCTGAGCGGTGTTCTCTGAGCAGTGTTCTCTGAGCGGTGTTCTCTGAGCGGTGTTCTCTGAGCGGTGTTCTCTGAGCGGTGTTCTCTGTTC